GTAGTAGTAGTAGTAGTAGTGGTAGTAGTAGTAGTAGTAGTAATAGTAGTAGTCGTAATCGTAGTAGTAGTCGTTGTCGTAGTAGTAGTCGTAGTAGTATTAGTAATCGTCGTCCTAGTACTACTAGTAATAGTCGTAGTCGTAGTCGTAGTCGTAGTCGTAGTCGTAGTCGTAGTCGCCGTCGTAGTCGCCGTAGTAATAGTAATAAAAGTAGAATTCGTAGTAGTCGTGGTAGTCGTTGTGCAATAGTAATAGCAATAGTAGTAGTGGTGGTGGTGGTAGTAGTAGTAGTATCAGCAGTAGTACTAGTAGTAGTAGTAGTAGTAGTAGTAGTAATAGTAGTAGTAGTAGTGGTAGTAGTAGTAGTAGTAGTAATAGTAGTAGTAGTAGTAGTAGTAGTAGTAGTAGTAGTAGTAGTAGTTTCACAGTAGTATTGGTAGTAGCAGCAGCAACAGCAGCAGTAGCAGCAGCAGCAGTAGTAATAGTAGTAGTCGTCGTAGCCGTAGTAGTGGTAGTAGTAGTAGTAGTAGTAGTAGTAGTAGTAGTAGTAGTAGTAGTAGTAGTAGTAGTAGTAGTAGTAGTAACGGTATATTATTATTTACTATTTTTATTATTGTGGTAGTAAGTAGTAGTAGTAGTAGTAGTAGTAGTAGTAGTAGTAGTAGTAGTAGTAGTAGTAGTAGTAGTGGTAGTAGTAGTAGTAGTAGTAGTCGTGGTAGTATTAGTATTAGTAGTAGTAGTAGTAGTAGTAGTAGTAGTAGTAGTAGTAATAGTAGTAGTAGTAGTAGTAATAGTAGTAGTAGTAGTAGTAGTAGTAGTAGTAGTAGTAGTAGTAGTAGTAGTAGTCAGTAGTATAGTAGTATTAGTAGTAGTAGTAGTAGTAGTAGTAGTAGTAGTAGTAGTAGTAGTAGCAGCAGCAGTGGACCACGATCCTCGTGAGGTGTGTCGAAAAAAAGGGTTCTCCCCCAAACCACGCAGGTAGCTCCGAGAACGCGCCGGGAACCCCAGGAAATCTCGAAAAGTGGGCTCCGAGCCTCAGAAGGCTTCCTCTGGATTGAGGATTGAGGCTACGGAAAAGGAAATGGCCTGAGGATATGCCCACTCCGTGCCCCAGGGCACGGTGGATGCTGCTTCGCCTCGACGTCGCTGTTCTGTTGAAGTTGCGCTGTTGCAATTCCGTACGTGGAATGTAAAATTCCTCCACGTGCACACTCCGTACTGTTCTTCGCCCTTCTCCTTTCCCCCCTCATCCTGCTCATGGTACTTTCCCTCATCGCCCTCATGTTCCGGAGGTTGCCGATGGCCTCTCTTCCCCCCAATGGAGCGGTGGTGGAAACGCTCCCGACAAGGAAGGGTCCCGCCTCCCCGCTCAAGCGGGGCCCCCCGACAGAGAATCGACTTGCCCTCCCCCGCCCTTCCCGCCCCCGAGTTGGTAACCTCCGGAGGTTACCGATTTCCCCTCCCGCCCCTCCTCCCCCCCGAATCGGTAACCTCCGGAGGTTCCCGACCTCCCGCCCCCCAGGGGGATGGAGAGGAACGCGTCCCCAGGGAAACGGCTCCAAGGGAAGAAACAACTCCAGAACCACAGGGGAGAACGGCTTCAAAACCCTGCTCCAGGAGAAGCAACGGGAACTTCCGAAGGTTACCGATCCCCCCCCCCCCTGGGGGGAAGGGGCGAGGCCAATTCGGTGGAATCCGGGGGTCCGAATCGGTAACCTCCGGAGGTTACCGACCCAACCTCCGGATTTCACCCGCTACCCCCCTGGAGATGCCTCGGGAGGCCATGCTGGCACTCTTCGAGCGGGGCAAGGGTGGGCCGAATGGGCAAGGGTGCAGAGGTAACCGTGGAAAGTTGATCATCCCTGCGGTCGGACCCAGGCCAGAAGAGCATCCCTCAAGAACACGAGACTCTCCACCAGCCAGCACACACAGAGAACATGCAAGGGTATGCGCAAGAACGCCCAACAAGCACGAAGAACATTAGGGCACCCTCACCAAATCGACCTCGATCATATACCTCGGTCCGACTGTACTATGCGAATTGACTATAGACCCCTCGAGAAATCTTGCCCCCTGTTCCTGTCAGCCTCGAGGAACACGGGGAGGAGAGGACACAGGAGCAGGCGTGGGGCAGGCGCGGGAGGGAGAGATGGAGGCGGATGACGATGGCGCAGCGCGGGAAGAGGAGAGGGGAGGAGATAAGGGGAGGAGGGGGGGAGGAAAGGAGGAAGGAAGAGAGGGAGGGAGGGAGGAGGTCTTGGAGGAGGGGTGAGGGTGGAGGGAGGAAGGAGTAGGGAGGACGCGAAGCGGGACGAGCCTCCTCCTCCTCCTCCTCCTCCTCTTCCCTCCTCCTCCTTCTTCCGCAATTTCTCTCGCTGCCCATTCGAGCAACATGCTCGGAGGAAAACTGCTGGCCTTTGCCATGGGTGGGGGAAAGCCCCACGCTCCCCCTCCTGTCCCGTCGAACCCCGAGGAGAAGGGAGGGTGGAAGTAGGAAGGAGGAGGGAGGACGCGCAGGGCGACGAGCCTCCTCCTCCCTCCTCCTCCTCCTCCTCCGCCTCCTCCTCCTCCTTCTTCTGCAACCTCCAAAGACCTCCCGAAGCCCGTGAGTGCCTCACAGAACGTTCTGCAGAACCTCCGTACACCTCCGAGAACTACCCCCCGCTCGCTTCGGACGAAGGCAGGATCGGGACAACATCGGATCGGAATCAATCGGGGATCTTCGAAAGCCCGCGGTCTTGTAAGCTGCATCGGGCGTCGCGGCCGTTCCAGAACGCCCCGGAACGCTCCGACAGCATTCTGGGACGCTCTGGGGCGATCCATTTCAATCCTAGGCCCGCCTGATCAGTCCGTGCTTGGAGTGCCATGTAGGACCTGCTCTACAGCAGGAACACACTGTACATTGATCTACCACCCTTTCTCCGAACTTGTACTGCGTCGAACGCACGCATCCACCCCGAATCGATTGTGTCAATATGTGTAATGCCACCCAATGTGCCTATAGACGACTGTGCCTACATTGTGATAGTGGTGATTGGCATCCGCCCCAGGTTTTCTAGAAGCAGATAGGCTTTGCCCTCCAAATCCTTGGCCACCTCCAGAATCGGCAACAAGTCCATGTGGTAGACCGTGACGATCGCGTCGGGCCGGCTGTCGAGGACCACGCCGCGGAATCTGTGCTTCCACTTGTTGTCGCAGGAAGGCGCTGGACAGGGCCCACGCAGCTGACCGAATACCTGAAAAAAGGTATTTTCTTATCCTTCTGCCGCCCCATGCTTTTCGTCTTCCTGCTGCTCCTTCGTCCTTTCTCGTCCTGCTCTCATCTTGTTTTCCCCATCCTTATTCTGGCCATCCTCGTGTTGCTCCTGCTCTTCCGCTTCCTGCTCGTCTCTCACTGCTCTTTTTGCACCCGAGCATCTTCACCACCACCATCATCCCACCATGGTCACGATCACGACATCATCGCCATCATCACCGTTATCGTCGTGATCGACGCCGTCTTCTGTCATGAGACATGGGGAGAAAGAAGGGGCATGAGAGGGGGAATGCGACAAGGGAAGCGAAGCGCGAGGGGAAGGGGGAAGAAAAGAGAAAGGGGGGACGAGTTGGTGCTGACATTGTAAAGGTTATCGGTGGTGATATACTTGGCAACAATAATGATCAGAAGAGCTTTTCCGGAACCTCATGTACTATCGGGGGCCCGCGTGGACGCTCGAGCTGCAGCAGCGTGGGCGGCGTGCGCGCGGGGTACTCGTCGAACCGGGGCTGCCTGGCAATGGAGAATGTCCCTCCGTAGAGCTTTCGCCACGGACGAGCAAGCAAAGTGAGGCGTTGAAGCAAGCGCAGCGACGCCCTGCAGTCGGGTCAAGCAGCAGAATGACTCGCGCACACCGCCCATGGCTCAGCACCCTCAGAACGAACAGTGGCGCGTTGATCCCTGGAGAGCCCTGTTGGCTCGTCAGTGGTGGGTGCGTGCGTGCGGCGCGCCGTCCATGGCCAGGGTTGTGGATCATGACGGCGCCCCACGGCAGGGACAGCTCAATAAGAAGATGCTTTCTTTAGCCCAGTGTTTTTGCGGCCTTCGTGGCAGCCAAGAGCATGGCACTGCTCGCGGCGGCCTGGCGCAAATCGTGCCCGGCGTGCGCTCAAGCCGGGGCGGCGATCGCGCCCGTCCAGCAGCATCCATCCAGGGAGGGAGGAAGAAAGGGAGGGAGGGAGGGAGGGAGGGGGGGGAGGAGGAGGAGGAGGAGGAGGAGGAGGAGGAGGAGGAGAGGAGGAGGAGGAGGAGGAGGAGGAGGAGGAGGAGGAGGAGGAGGAGGAGGAGGAGGAGGAGGAGGAGGAGGAGGAGGACTCTGCAAACTGCGCGCTGCCGGCGCCGCCGTCCGCCCTCGGCACTCCGTGGCGTGTAGGCGCCGGCGGGCGCGGCCGGCCGTTGCGCCGCCTGCGCTGCCGCGCAGCTGCAGAGCTCCCGCGCGCCTTGCTTCATTGAAGGGGCCCCAGGACACACAAATAAATACACACAAAAACAAATATTCCCTATATTTTCCCATATTTTCTGGGTTTCTGTCTTCCCCCCACTTCCCATATTTTCCCATATTTTCTGGGGAATCGAAGATTAATTGTGTCTGTGTGTATTTTCCTCTCCTGATTCATGGGCGCTTCGACGCGGTTTCTCTGGCTGTTTGCTGCTGGTGCTTGCCAGTCCCAACTGTTGACTGGTCGTCGCGTGTCTCTGGGGGGTGCCGAGCTCCGCCGCAGCGGCGCGCGCGGACTGGGCGCGGCCAACGGCGGCGCAGTGTCGCAGGCGCCTGCGTCGGCTATTCGCGGCTGCCCCAATGCCGCGCGTCCTCGAAGGGCATGGGCGTCGACGGCCGGCGCCGCGTCCCGCGTCGCATGCCGTCCGTCGGCAGCGCAGCGTGGCCGACGCGCCTGGCCACCGCGACGCATGCCGATCGTTGCTGACTGGTTCGCGCAGGCGTGGGCGATAGCGCAGCGCTGACCTCTGCGGCAGCATGCCGTCGTGCCGGCGCCTCGCGGTGCAGGCGGCGCTGAGACTCCGAAGCCGCGCGCCTGCACGTGGCGCTTGTTTAACGAGCGGGCGAGCTATGACCGCTGGGGCGTGGCGGTTCGCCAGGCGCTCGTCAACTGTGGGCGGCGCCAGCTGCCCCGCGAGGATGCTAGGGCTCCCAACTTCGCGCTTCGCGCTGCGCGAAGCGCGAATAACTTCGCGCTCTCGCGTCGCCCCCCCCACAGGGAGAAAAGGAGGACGAGGAGGAGGGGGAGAATGAATGAGGACCGCGAAGCGCGAATGACTTCGCGCCCTCGAGGGAGCCCTTACTTATATGCTACAAGACGAGGAAGCCCTCGATGTTGACGGGGGCTGGCGCCGGCCACTGGTGGAAGTGAATGGCTTCCCGACGGCGATCGCGACGAGTGCGGTCTGCGGCGCGCGCGTGGCCAAGTCGTCCTCGCGGTGCTCGTCCTCGAGAAACCCGGTGACTCGACTGCAGCGGCCGCTTGCCTCGCTATGCGGCGGTGACGAAATTGGGCGGGGGGTCGAGGCCCGCGGCGGACAGCGACCGGTGACGAGCAGATGGCGCGCGCTGCGTCAAGAGACTGCTTTGCATGGAAACTCTTTGCCGGTCTCGCCACACCGCGAAGCCGCCGAGTTGAGCAGCCCCGCCTCGCGCCGGGGGCGCGCGGCCCGGCGCGCCGCCTCGCGTGGCTCCTGGAGGCCAGCGTCGCAGAAGTGCTCTGCGCCCGTGCTCGCGCGTAGAGAGCACGGCGCGGTGCTCTCCCGCTCGGATCTTCACGCCGTGCTCTGCCCGTCGTGCGCGACCTCGGCGTCGTGGCCGATCTGCGCGGCGTTCTTGCTGCGTGGGTTCGTGCAGGGGCGCCTCGTCGTGGCGGGGTTCGCGATCTCCTGCACTCCTGCGAGCAGCCTCGCCCTCGGCCGTCTTGGCCGCGCCGAGGCCCTCGCAGTCCTCGATGGCCCTCTGCCGTGGCGGTGAGACCTCCACGAGGCCCCTGCCCATGGCTTCCGCCGGCCGCGTCGGGATCTCCAAGGGCCTGCCAACTCCACAGTGCGCGCCGCGCCGCCCATGCCGAAGAACATCTGGAAGATGACGCCGCTCTGGCGCAGATCGTCGACCGAGTCGGCCTCTTGCTCGGCCCAGATGGCGCGCGCCCCAGCTGGAGGCAACAACGTCTGCGACATCATGTCAACAGCGCACGTGGTGCAAGTCCTGATCGGGCATGCGCTGCCTCCGTGGCCGTCTGCAGCTCGCGCCGTGGCGCGTGGGGCATCGCTCATGTGCAGCTGGCGTTCTTCGCGCCTGGGCCCCGCCGCGCCCGTCCTCGAAGGACTCGGGTCGGCGGGCGGAGCCTCGTTCCAGAGCGGCTCGGCGGCGGCCCCGGGCCGCGGCCGCTGCCGCGAGCGTCGCGTCGAGGCCGACGCCGAGACGACCGCCCAGAATCAGGAGGAAAAGAAACACACAGACACAATTAATCCTCCGTTCCCCAGAAAATATGGGAAAGTATGGGACGTGGGGGGGAAGACAAAAGCCCAGAACATATGGGAAAAGATGTTTTTTTATTTTTATTTGTGTGTATGTATTTGTGTGTTCCAGTTCCCCTTCACAGAAGCGACGTCTCGCCGGCCGTAGCGCTGGGGGCGCAGCCGAGTGGCTCGCGGCGCTGCCGGGCGTCGCTGGGCCGACCTCGTCGAGGGCCCGCCTGCGGGGTGCGTCTCCTCTTTCACTGCTTCGGCTTGCTCCGAGTCTTCACGCCTGCGGCCTCTGCCTCGCCCTCTGGGTGCGACGGGCAGGTTGGCGCGGCGGCTGGGGCGGTGCAGCTCATTTCCTGATCGGAGATGCGCGCTGGCACGCGCTGGCGCCGAGCCGAGCGGCGACGCGGCGTCCGACTTGAGTCGGGATCGCGCGGGCGATCGAGCAGCTCTGGCAGAGCAAAGGAAAAATGAAAAGAGGATGCCGGATCCATCCAAGCCCCGCGCGCCTTCGCGGCCAATCCATGGTGCGCCGCCGCTGTCTGGAGGGCGTCGGCGCGGGCGGATGGCGGGCTCGCCGACTATGCTCGTGAGCTCGCCCGTGATCTTGCGAACGGCGCTGGGCACAGCTCGCGAGAGCGTGGGCCGTGCTCGCCAATTTCCGCGTCGGTGCAAAGTCCGAAGCCCGCGGCAGATTGCCGGGCGCAGGTGGGGCTCGGAATCGCGTTAGTGCGAAGATGATGAAAGGGGCAGCCTCGACCCAGCAGCGCGGGGGAGGGGGGCGACGAAGGGTGGACCATGAAGAGTGTGCGTGGACATCGCGCAGCCGCCTCGCTCGTCGAGAGCTCTGAATCGCGGTCCTGCTCGTCGTCGCCGTGGCCCTTGACTAGGTGCTCCTTTATCGGGGAGACGTAAGACCCGGGTACGGGGGACTCGGAAATCCCCGACGAGGTCGTCAAAAAAATGACGAGGCCGAGCCTGCATTTTGACGAGGCCTCCCGCTGCAGACATCCCACGAAACTCCTACTCGTCAAAATCCGAGTCGCGGTCGTCAAAACAAAAATGGCGAACCCGAGTCCTGACAAACCCGGGTCTTACGCTCCCCCGACTTTAGCGAGCTGTCTTCGTGATCAGCTGCATGTTCCTCGCCCGTGGCGTCTACGTCAGGAAGCGGCCCGGGAGGCGCGGCCGCCCCCTCGGGCTCCGTGGCCGGAGGGCCTGGCGCCGTCGCGCGATTGGCCTCGCATCGGCGACTGGCCTTTTCGCCTCCGCGCTGTCTTCTTCGCCTCCGTACAAAATCATCCGCGTTATTGTCGTCGCCCGCGCCCGCCGGGTTCGCGCGCCCGAAGGGCTCCGCTGGTTCGCAGGGGCCACTGCCGCGGCGGAACGACGGTCTCCAGCGCTTCTCGACAAAGCGTCGTGGAGGAGAGCGCTCTGGCAGGGGTGGCCGCGAGCCCCGGCTCGAGGCGAGCCTCGAACGCGGGCTCGCCGCGCCAGCGTGAGTGGCCGGCGCCGCGGTGGATGGCGCGGCGCCTGGGTCGTCCAGCCGGTCGGGATCCAGCAGTGGGACTGGGCCGTGCCCTGGCCAGTCGTGGCCGCGCTACTGCCAGTGGCGCCTGCGCGCCTGGTGTTCGCTCGCGTAGAAGGTGTTCTCCCAGAAGTGATGCAACTGGTGGCAGAACATTAGCTTAGTCTCGTAGAGAAAGCTCACGCGCATCATGGGCTCTATTC